TTTATAGCTACTGTAGTAGATAACGCTAAGAATACAGAAATGGAGGTGATATATGATGAAACTGCAACAGTGAGGTTATCGAAGCAATGAAATTGGTACAGTACTTTTATATAATTTAGAATGTTAACAGGGATTTTAAAATATTTGTATTGTCCTTTGACAGAGCAATCCTATGTGTGAAAAGGACAGGAAAAAGAAAAGCAGAAAAAATTGAAGTGTTTGTAGAATGTTATTTAAAATAGAGAACTATCTGGATGAGCATAAGTGTTTAACATTGGGGGCAGTGAAACAAATTATAGTTCATTAATTCAATGGATGAATACAGAGTAAAAGTGGTAACTCGAAGATTGTAACAACATGGAATAGATATTTGATACATAAAAATAATCAAGCTATGGGCTCCCCTGGTGGCGCAGTGGTTGGGAGTCCGCCTGCCAATGCAGGGGACACGGGTTCGTGCCCTGGTCTGGGAGGATCCCACATGCTGTGGAGCGGCTGGGCCCGTGAGCCACGGCCGCTGAGCCTGCGCGTCCGGAGCCTGTGCTCTGCAATGGGAGAGGCCACGACAGTGAGAGTCCTGCGTACCGCAAAAAAAACAAAAAAACAAGCTACAAATTTGCAACTACGATTTGATTTTGAATATTCCTATGAGAAAAAGCCAAACAGAAATTAGAAAATTGAGAAAGTTGACTTATTGTCAGGGAATTATGGATGCTTCTCAGTTGTTATTATATATTGGGTAAGTTTTTCAAAATGCATAATATATCCATGCATAAATATACATATACAAAAATTTAATAATAACTATATATATATTATTTATTTGTTTTTATTTATTTATTTTATTTTTGGCTGTGTTGGGTCTTCATTGCTGTGTACAGTCTAGTTGCGGTGGGCAGGGGCTACTCTTCGTTGCGGTGCGTGGGCTTCTCATTGCAGTGGCTTCTCTTGTTGCAGAGTGCAGGCTCTAGGTGCGTGGGCTTCAGTAGTTGTGGCATGTGGGCTCAGTAGTTGTGGCTCACAGGCTCTAGAGCGCAGGCTCAGTAGTTGTGGCGCACTGGCTTAGTTGCTCCACGGCATGTGGGATCTTCCGGGACCAGGGCTTGAACCCATGTCCCCGGCATTGGCAGGCAGATTCTTAACCACTATGCCACCAGGGAAGTCCTAGATAACTATATATTTTAAGGAGTTTCCTTCTGTAATTCTGGAGTTTGAGGAATTAGAAGAGTGAGACAGTCCTTACAATGGTTAGGGTTACAGGCTTTTGAGTCAGATAGACCTGGATTCAAATTCTGCACCTCTGTTCATTAGCTGCATGACCTTGAGCTTCAGTCTCCTCATCCATGAGAAGGGGATGATACCTGAGCTTTGGTGTGAGGATTATTTAGATCAAAACAACACTACCTTTCTTTCTTTCTTTTTTTTGTTTTTTGCGGTACGCGGGCCTCTCACTGTTGTGGTCCCTCCCGTTGCGGAGCACAGGCTCCGGATGCACAGGCTCAGCGGCCATGGCTCATGGGCCCAGCCGCTCTGCGGCATGTGGGACCCTCCCGGACCGGGGCATGAACCCGCGTCCCCTGCATCGGCAGGCGGACTCTCAACCACTGCGCCACCAGGGAAGCCCATCACTACCTTTCAATAAATGATGATCATCAAGGAAGAATGACTTCATCCTCAAAAGGACAGTCCACTGAGACCCTTACTTTGAGACAGTGTGACTTCCTTTGACAGAAAGTCAGAATCATTTCAAAGGGAGATGCACAATATTTATTATATTATACATCTTAAAGTTACCCAGTGTAGAGAAAGAAAAAAAATTTCTTTTCTTCTACTCTTCTGGGTCCTCAGCTTGGGTCTCTGTCAACAAAAAACAGAAAAATGAACAGAAGTTTATTAATATGTATATGTCAAATGCACGGGAGAAACTCAGGGATGAGTAACTCAAAGGGATGGCTAGAACTTGGGTGTATATAGCATTTTAACAAAGAAAAAATAAATTTGTATAGAAATGACGGGACAAAGGAAAGCGTTTTAAGGCTTCCAAGGGCGGGAAACTGTGGGAATGTAATATATTGGGGGAAACTAACAGTGAGGTTTGTTTGGTGTCATCTCTGGGCTAACAGTCTAGAACCTCCAGCAAAGGCAATTTATATTTTGTCTTTAGGCAGAAAGGAGGAGGGTAGAGAGAGCTTTTCCTGTTTTCGCTGCTCCTAATTGCCTTCGGCTCAAAACAGTATGTCAAAGAGGCATATTTGGGGGTGACATAATCTGGTTTCCTTCACCAGTAAGGTTGTTTTTCGGGATTTTTGCATTTCTTACCATATAAACTTTACCGTTCCAAGCAGTGGGTGTCATAAGATCTACAGTATTGGGACTTCCCTGGTGGTTCTGTGGCTAAGGCTCCGGGCTCCCAATGAGCCTGGGCTCAATCCCTGGTCAGGGAACTAGATCCCACGTGCCACAACTAAGAGTTTGCATGCCATCACTAAAGACTAAGACCCGGCGCAGCCAAATAAATACTTAAAAGAAAAAAAAAAGGGGCTTCCCTTGTGGCACAGTGGTTAAGAATCCCCCTGCCAATGCAGGGGACACGGGTTCGAGCCCCGGTCCGGGAAGATCCCACATGCTGTGGAGCAACTAAGCCCGTGCGCCACAACTACTGAACCTGCTCTCTAGAGCCCACGAGCCATAAGTACTGAGCCCGTGTGCCACAAGTACTGAAGCCCGCGTGCCTAGAGCCTGTGCTCCACAACAAGAGAAGCCACCGCAATAAGAAGCCTGTGCAGCAACAAAGACCCAACGCAGACAAAAATAAAATAAATAAAATAAAGTATCCCTTGCTTGAAAAAAAAAAAAAGATCTACGGTATCAGAAGCTTTTTGAAAGGAAAGCAGCGCTGTGCTCCTTAGGGCTGCTTGACACCATATGTATGTGTATGCAGTTAGTTACACTTATATACCTATATTAAATATATATATATGTATCCATACTTATTTTATTCTTTCTGCCTTTATAGTCAGACAACTCCTGTATGTTTGTGTTAAAAGTGATTAGCCAGTTGGATTAAGGGACTTACATAAGCAACAGAAAGATAAAATGATCAGGTGAATTCCATTTGATGTCGTAATTCCTCTGCCTCAGGGAGGGTTTTTTAAATAAGATCAGTTGTAGAGTAGGAAAGGGGAAGCAGGAGGGGACAGGGAAAAGCAAGCAAGACCAGGGAAGCTGGTGGGCTTTCAGAATGCAGAAACCTAAGTAGAGACCTACAGTGGACAACTAAGGATGGCAACTTTTGTGATTTTTTTTAAAAGCTTAATTAAAAGCTTCTGCGTTATTGGATATGGTGGTCACTTCCCCACAGGCTCAGTGATTTCCTGAAATACAAGTCTGTCCATGTTCCTGTTTCCTCACTACCAAAACCAAAACCAAACAAATAAGGTTCTTTTTTTTTGTACATTTTTAGTCTTTTAAAAGATTTTTTATTTTATTTATCTTTTTATACAGCAGGTTCTTATTAGTTATCCATTTTATACATATTAGTGTATATATGTTAATCCCAGTCTCCCAGTTCATCCCACCACCACCACCACACACCCGCCACTTTCCCCCCTTGGTGTCCATATGTTCAAACAAATAAGATTCTTAGCAGGGCTCAGGTGATGTGGCCTCTTTGCCCACCTCTCCATTCCCTGCCTTACACTAACGCGCTTCTTTTTTTTTTTTTTTTTAATGGTTTATTTATTCAGTTCGGCCACCGGCCATGTGGGATCCTCCCGGGCCAGGGATGGAACCCGTGCCCCGTGCAGTGGAAGCCTGGAGTCCTAACCACTGGACCGCCATGGAAGTCCCCTAGGGTACTTCTCTAGGTCCAGAAAAACACCATCTGTGCATTTTCTCCTGCTGTTTCCTTGGACTGGAATGGTAGTCTCACCTTTCTTTGCCTGAAGAGCAATGATTTACTTTAAAAACCTCTACTATCTGTCAGGCACACATACCTGGCTCTTCATGCGAGCACTGGCCCCAGCCTCTCAGCTCTATTTTTTTTTTAAATCTCATATTTATTTAATATTCCATACAATGTATTTTATTTTGACATGTCAGTCTCCTAGACCCCATGAAACTATTTAATCTTTGTATCCTGTCCTCCAGCAGGAGGACAGGACACTCAAGAAATGTTAAGGTGGCTAAAACAAACCCACGTTTGGTTACCAATGACCAGTGACCTCACATACCTTGGGCTCAGAATCCCTCACCTGTATCTCAAAATCACTGTGCCCGCCAGCGCCTTCAGAACACGAATCCCTTTCACAGGGTTTGAAATGTATCAAGTCCCCATTACTCACCAGGCTCCAAGCCTGGGCTAACCCTGATCCATGAGAGAAAGAGAAACCTAACTTCTAGGAAAGAAGAGTCCGCTGTGCGGGGTGGAGCGGGGATTGGGGCGGGGTAGGGGGGAAGCAGCACTGTGGGCAGCACCGGGGCCGTCCAGGCTCGGCCCCCGGCCCTCGCAAACACCCGCCTATACACTCCCCTCGGTTTTCAGGTGGACACCATCCACGTGGGTGCCGCATCCGTGCCCCGTGTCCTGGCGAACGTCACCGAACACTTCTGCCCGGACCCCTGCAGCAGGGGCAGCAGCAGCCGTCGCAGTGCGGCGGGATGGGGTGGATGTCACCACGCGCGGGCGGCGGGACCACGGAGAGGAAGCCGTCGGGGTTCGAGGCCCGGCACCCCGGAAACCCCGAGGGAAAGAGGGGCCGGGAGGCGTTGATGCGTTTCCCCGGAGTTGCGCAAGGGCAAGGGCGGCGTGGCGGGCTGGGACCGTCTGGGCGGGCATTCCCGCCGCTGCCCCCGCCCGGAGGCCGAACCAAAAGCGAAAGGAGCCGGTCCCCCCCCCTCCGTCCCCCGCCCCCCGCCCCGCGGTCCCGCAGCCCCGGCGTCGCGTTCGCGGGGAGGTCGCCGCGCGCCTGCAAGTCGGCGGGGCCGCCGCTTTGTGACTTCACTCGTTTCGCAACAAGCCCGGGCCGCCCGCGCCCCACCCACTCCCGCGCCGCCTCCTCGCAGCCCGCCGCCTCTCTCCGCTCTCCGCGCTTCCCCTACCTCCGGGGCCGGGCCTGCCCAGCCGTCGCGGAGCCTCCCTCCCGGCCGCCCGTGGCTGTTCGCGCCGTGGCCGCCGCGCCGCGGGTCGGCACGTGCGCGGAGCCCACCTCCCAGCAGCGCAGAGCAGCCCCCCGTTCCGGGCCCGCAGAGCGCAGCGCCCTCCTGGTGGCGGCGCGATGCTGTGCTTCTTGAGGGGAATGGCCCTCATCCCCTTCCTCCTGGTGACCTGGTCGTCCGCCGCCTTCATCATCTCCTACGTGGTCGCCGTGCTCTCCGGACACGTCAACCCCTTCCTCCCCTACATCAGGTGAGGAGCCGGGTGGGAGGCAGGACGCGGGACGGGGCAGAGGCACCGCGGGGGAGCACTGCTGATGCGGAGGGAAGGGGTCCAGACCCAGCTGGGGCGTCTTGCAGAAAGATGGAGCACTGACGACCAGGAGGGGGCGCTCCTGGGAGGTACAGGGAGGCAGGGGGTAGGAGCCGAGCAGTTCTGATTTTACCCCGAACACTGAGCAGAGTGGCGTCAGGAGCCATCGAGGATGCACAGGAGAACTTTGAGACTGGGTATGGGACAGAATCTCTGGAAGACGCTTTGGCGGTATTGAAACAAGGATGGATCCTGTTGGATGCCACTCATTGAATGTGTAAGAGGCAGATCCAGGTGTACGCTAGAACAGCTCACGTATTTCACTCCTGCTTCCCAACGTCCTCGTGAAGTGGCTGTCTGGCTCATTTTTCTTGCAAGGAAACTAAGTTTAAGCTGATGTTGAAATTCATCAGTGTGACACTGATGTCACAGCTAAGAAATGGTGGAAGCAGAACTCACACCCAGATTCATTCCCATGCCAGAAGCAACACCATGCTACCTTTGGTAGTGGTGTTTGGAAGACGCTTTAAGCTCTCTTGGATGGAGCTGCCCAAGATCCCTCTGGGTACTGGGCCTTCAAATTGTCAACAGTTGGTGACATCTCTTGTGTTGTCATTATACCATTTCGTCTTTCATGAGTTTTGGCCTCTACCTTTCTTTAATTTTTTTAAAATAAATTTAATTATTTATGGCTGCATTGGGTCTTCGTGGCTGCGCATGGGCTTTCTCTAGTTGTGGCGAGCGGAGGCTCTTCTTTGTTGTGGTGTGCGGGCTCAGTAGTTGTGGCTCGCAAGCTCTAGAGCGCAGGCTCGGTAGTTGTGGCGCACAGGCTTAGTTGCTCCATGGCATGTGGGATCTTCCCGAACCAGGGCTCGAACCCGTGTCTCCTGAATTGGCAGGGGGATTCTTAACCACTGCGCCACCAGGGACGTCTGGCCTCTACCTTTCTTGAGAGTCACTTTATCAGTGCCCAGGACATGCGTCTGGATCCTCTTCGTGTGGCTCCCAGCTCTGCGCCTTGACTGTGGTAATGGCGTTCCTTAAACATTTGAAGAATCCATCCTTATCCAAGTGGTGTGACCGCTCTGGGTCTGTATTGATTGGTGAGGGCATTATAAAGTTGGTGACACCCAAGGTTACTGCTTAATTATTGTAGGGATTGTAGAGATTATAGAGGTTGTAGGGCCTCTTCTTTTTGCAGCCATTCTGCCTGGTGAGCAATGCTCTATAATCTCTTTTGTAGGCGAGAAAGGGGAAACGAAGTGAAGCAAGAGGGGACGACAGTTTAAAGATGCAAGGAAGCAAGTGATATGCAGAATAGTACACAGAACCAAATCTGTAGTAATGGTGGTGGTTTTGCCCACGCAAGATGAGGCGTCCCATGCATCGAGGAAACTTTCCCATCAGGCGTGGTGCCCCTGCAGAAACCTCGGCTTGGTTTCTCATGGCTCGTCTCTGTCCCAAGTGCCATTGTCTTGCTTCTCTTGTATCTGAAGTGGGATAGATCCTCTTAGACTGATGTTAAAAGCAAGAGTTCAATCCCGGTAATGCTTTTTATTGAGTAAATAGCAGCTGTGTTTGTTGCCAGTTTGAAGGTCAGGGGCAGGTAGTATTTGGTACACATTGGCTAGGCGATCAGAGGCAGGGTTTGAGTCTTTGTAGAGGTGTCTGATGTAGTCGTGATTAATACCACCTCCAGGTGAGCTACCAGACATTCAGAAATGGGGAAATGAGCTGACAGGACCAACTACTTGTAAGATGCTCAAATCACAGACATTCCAAGGAAGAGGTTTTAAATTTAGCAAGGAAAGGAAACTTTCAGGAAAAAGTGGAATAACAGGAGAAAAAGGCACGAGATTGTTCCCTTGCGCCGGGAGCCTTCAGCCTACAAACACGTGATTGCTTGCCTAAGTGTGCCTGGGGCCTTTAGGTTGTCTGCTCTGTCTGCCTACATGGGTGGCTGGAGCACTGGATTGCCTCTGCTGCCTCCTAGAAAACTAAGTCATTGAGGCCAGGGCAAGGGCAAGATTAGAAGGGCAAGTTTCTGGACGTGATGGGATTAACTCCAGATTTATCCATTTGGCCCAGACCGTACTTCTCTAACTCATCTCTGCTCTGATGCCTCCTCTTCTTCCTTACCCGCCCCCCGCTCCACTTCCCTCCAGACTCCTTGGCCTCCTTCCTGGGTCTTGAGCATGTCAGGCACACCTCTTCCTCCTGGCCTCTGCACTGGCTATTACTCTGCCAAAATGTTCTTCCTTACCTCCTTCTTTGTTCAATTATCTCTGTGAGGCCTGCTCTGATGGCCCTATTTAACACTGCACCTTAGTGCTCCTGACACCCCCATCCAGTCTTATTCTCCATAGCACCTATTACCTTCTAACAAACTGTATGATTTACTTATTTATTATGCTGATCATCTGTCTTCGTTTGCTGGAATGTAACATCCATGAAGGCTCTCGATATTTGTTGAATTAATATGTCTTGGGTGCTCAACTGTGAGTATTGCTATTCTTCCCTCCAGGGTAGGGCAGAGCCCTTTAGGGAAGGCTCGGTAAAGTCACTGGTGGTTGGTCAGTGATCTGGACATATTTAGGGTGAGCACCCTTTAACGCGAAGGCATTGTTCAGCCAATCTGATGTTCTGATGTTTTTTAACAACGCTGAACACTTTAAGTAAGAGCCATTGCATTTTACAATTTTGTTTATTTATTTATCTTCCAGTTTTATTGAGCTATAATTGACATACAGCACTGTATACGTTAAAGGTGTACAGCATCACAAATTGACTTACACACGTCATGAAATGATCATCACAATACGTTTAGTGACTACCCATCATCTCATATAGATACAAAATAAATGTAGGGCTTCCCTGGTGGCGCAGTGGTTGAGGGTCCGCCTGCCGATGCAGGGGACACGGGTTCGTGCCCCGGTCCGGGAGGATCTCACATGCCGCGGAGCGGCTGGGCCCGTGAGCCATGGCCGCTGGGCCTGCGCGTCCGGAGCCTGTGCTCCGCAACGGGAGAGGCCACAACAGCGAGAGGCCCGCGTACCGCAAAAAAAAAAAAAAAATAAAAAAAAAAAATAAAATAAAATAAAATGAAATAACTAAATAAATGCAAAAGAAACTAGTTTTTCCTTGTGATGAGAACTCTTAAGAATCACTCTCTTAACATACGGCAGTGTTCATTACGTTACTCATGTTGTACGTGACATCCCTAGCACTTCCTTGTCTTGCAGCTGGAAGTTGGTACCTTTTGGATACCTTCATGTAACGTCCCCTCTCCCCACCCCCACCTCTGGTAACCACAAATCTGATCTTTTTCTGTTTGTTCTGGAAGTATAATTGACCTACAACACTTTGTTAGTTCCTGGTATACAACATAGTGATTCGGTATCTTTGTACACTAAAAAATGATCACCACTAGCCATTGCATTTTAAATAAGATCCAGAACTGTGGAAGAACCCCTTTGCAGTAGGACAATCAAATTCAGCTTTCTTATCAGATATTTTCTGATAACATTGTTATTCCTCAGTATTTGGGACAAGTGGGCCTATAGCTCTTAGACACATGAAAATATGCTCAATCTCATGAATGGAATAAAAATTCAAATTAAAACTCACTTTTGGGAATTCCCTGGTGGTCCAGTGGTTAGGACTCCAGGCGCTCACTGCCGAGGGCCTGGGTTCGATCCCTGGTTGGGGAACCAAAATCCCATAAGCTGCGCAGCCCGGCTGAAAACAAAACAAAACAAAACAAAAAAACTCACTTTTCATCTACTGGATTGGCAGAAACCCAAATGTTTGATAGCACATTCTATTGGTGAGACTTTGGGGCAACAGGCTCCTGTACACTGCTGGTGGGAATGTAAAGTGATTCAATCTCTACGGAGGGACTTGGGCATTATTTATCAAAATGACACAAATACAATATCTAAAGTATATTCATAGCACGGCTTTTAATAACAAAAGGTTGGAAACAATACAAATGTCCATCAGTAGAGGACTGGCTTAATAAATGATTTACCCAAGAATATCTCAAACGAAAGCTCTTTTTACATAGAATACTCTCTTTAGAATTTCATTACATTGTTACATGGAAAAAAGCAAGATGCAAACAAAATATACTACCATTGGGGAGGGGAATAATGTGTATCTGTATTTGCTTGCATGAAGAAACTAATAAAAATGGTTTATCTGTGTATGATGGAGGGAGGTGGCCATGGTCAGCAAGACCCTAGCTGATGGAAAAAAAGGGTGGAAATAAGACTTCTCCTGCCACACTTAAAAAAAATTAATCTTTTAATTTTAAGATAATTATAGATTTACATGCAGTTATAAAAAAATAATACAGAAAGATCCCATGTATTTTTTTACCCAGTTTCTCCCAAAGGTAACATCTCTAAACTTGGCATTAACTTTTTATGTGAATTTATTTTTTAGGCAAATGGATGTTTCCTATCATAAAATTAAATTAGAAGCATTGGGATTCAAACAGCCACCAAATTTAGCAAGTTGGAATAACATAGTGTGATGTTTCTGTATTATGAAACCATTAATGCAAGGATGTGAAAACCAAGGACAAATAAAAATCAACCTCAAAGCATTAGTTTAGATTTTTACAGGGGGACACTCATATATTTTTTTTTTTTTTGGTTATTTATTTTTGGCTGCATTGGGTCTTCGTTGCTGTGCACAGGCTTTCTCTAGTTGTGGCAAGCAGAGACTACTCTTTGTTGCGGTGTGCAGGCTTCTCATTGCAGTGGCTTCTCTTGTTGTGGAGCATGGGCTCTAGGCGTGTGGGCTTCAGTAGTTGCAGCATGTGGACTCAGTAGTTGTGGCTTGTGGGCTCTAGAGCACAGGCTCAGTAGTTGTGGCTCACAGGCTCTAGAGCACAGGCTCAGCAGTTGTGGCCCACGGGCTTAGTTGTTCCACTG